TTTTCGTGGGCTGATTTGGGATTTTTTGTTGTTGTTTTTTAAAGAGTCTACAATAACTAGGTTTCTCTTCCGTAGGGAACATCTTTAGACAGGGACAGTTGAGTCATAATTAGTCCCTAAAAGGGAGCCACACGCTGGCACCCACGTGCCACCTGTGGACAACCACAGCCCTCCGAAGGAAGGGAGCCTCCCACGGACTCCCAGGGGTGGGGGGCTGCCACCCTCCCAGCTCTGCTCCCCAGACAGCTGAGGAAGGGACTCCTTCTTGGGGGGTCCCTTTCCCTGTGACGTCTCTGAGTCGTAACGGAGCCGGTTCAAACCTCAGGGTGGGCAAGGCTCCACCCCTGGGGTGCCAAAGGGCCTTGCAGGAGAACTTTTCCATAGTCCAGAGCTAGGTCCTGAACTCAGTTAGGTTAGGTGTTTTTACCTGGCCTGTCTTGAATGCTTGGGAAATTTGCATAAGGTGTCACTGGGGAGGTGTCTCCCGGGAAAAAAGAAAAATGCAGGGAGCTTTGGGCCTGGAATGGTGGCATCTGTGTGAAGGCTCTGGGAGACTCTCACCCATGACGCGTCAGGGTGGGTCCCGTGGGCAGCGGCGGTGCTGAGCGCCTCAACAGTAGTTCCCGCCGGACGCCCCCGCCCCCCGACGAGGTTAGGAACGGGCCGGGCACAATGCGGCAGATCTGAGATGAGTCTGCCTTCTGGTGCCGGTTATTAAGGGGGATTAGCGTGTCCAATCCCGGAGAGCGGGCTGTGATCTTGCGAGGTGAAAACAGAATCCCAAGGTTGGCTGGAAGGTCATTAAACCACCTGAGACCCTCTGCACGACAGACGAACAGAATCCCAGGGGCCGGGAGCAGCTTGGAGCTCGCGCTTTGCGGGGTGACACCCTTAGTCGAAGCTGCCCAGAGAGGTAAAGTCGGGCGGGAGGGGCGTCAGTTCCCTGTCCGAGGCTCTGTCTCTGCAGGAATGTGGGTGGCCTTCTACGAGGCGTGGGGACGACGGAGAGACTGTCGTGCAGAGCGGGGCTCCACCAGCCTCCTCCACAGAGGACCAGAGGGTCGATGTGTTGGGCCTGCAGGCAGAGCCATGTCGCAGGAGTGCAGGGGTGGACAGTACAACAATGAGTGTGTGTGCCCCCCGAATCCGTATGCTGAAGCCCTAACCCTCATGGGACAGGATTCGGAAGTGTGGCCTTTGGGTGGCGAATAGGTTTAGATGAGGTCACGCAGGTGGGTCCCATGGTGGGATCGGTGCCCTGCTAAGACGGGGAAGAACCCAGAGCTCACTGTCCCCCCGTGTGAGGATGCCAAGACCGTGGCCGTCTGTCTGCAAGCCAGGAAGCCGACCTTGATCCCAGACTTCCAGCCTCCAGGACAAAGAGACGGACACGTCCACTGCCGACACGTCCACTGCCGAGTCCGTGGCCTTTCTTAACGGCCGCACGAGCTGACCGGACAACAGCGAGTGTCGACTCTGGCATTTGAAGTCTATATAAGGTCCGTCGTGTGCTGTGAAATGGGATTGTTTTATTTTTCTTCCAACCACTGAACCTGCAAGAACAGAGACCCACGGGCCGCAGCACAGCCCCGCTGAGCCCAGGGACAGGGAGGCTGCCTCACGTCTCTGCTGACCACGACCCGGACACTGCTCTTGGCTCAGGCACCTCTGCTGTTCTTCAAAGAATTTCTACAAACAAGCGCCCGTGGAGGAGGTGACCTGGGTTATGACGGACAGAGGCCGCGGCGAGGGTGGCCGCTGAAGGCGCCCAGGCGCTGGCGTCGGACCCGGAGCATCAGGCCCCTGCCGGACGCTCACCAGCTGGCTGGCCTCAGCCTCGGCGTCCTTGTGGGCAGTTCCCCGCTGCCTGGGAGGTTTATCAGGGTTCTGTGTGACAGCCACGCGACGCATGACGTCGGCCCACATTACGTGTTAACTAAGTCGGTGACGTGAGTGGAAGCTTTGAAAGAAGTGGTGTTGGGTGCTCTCGGTGGGTGGGCCCGCCATGCCAGGTGCCCTTGGATGGCCCAAGGAGAGCCATGCAACAGAGACGGGGTTTACCGTCTCCAGAGAGCGTCAGGGGGCCGCTGTGCAGAAGTGCGAGGCAGCTGATTTCAAATCAACCTCAGGACCTTTGTCGTGATGTCAGCGGTTCCCGGGGGATCTGCTCAGCGTTCCGCTGGGTGCGGATGTGGGAACACCCGGCGTGGGGATCTTACGGAGGGAACTGGCGTCTGGGCGCTGGCCTGGGCCCTCTGCTCCTCACACGGAGAGTCTAGGACACGTGAACCCAGTTCTGTCACCACATTCGGGGGACATGGCCCCCCGGGGTCCTGGCTCCATGGAACGTGAGTTACATCGAGGCCGATTCGGTCCATACATGCATCTTAAATTGCAGGAGTATCTAGAACCCCTCTGAGGTCTCCGTGCTGCCCCCCTGCCCCCTGACCCACCTGAGCCGCCCCAGCTCACTCCGCTGGTGTGGAGGCAGACCTGGGTAGGCAGCCTCCTCTATGAGGAAGAATGTTCCAGAAGAATGTGTCCCTCTCTGTCGGGGAAGCAAACCTTTCCTGGATGCCACACCCAGCAGGACGCTGCTGATGGCCGTGCCCGGGTCACAGTGCCCTGGAGATCATTCGGGACAGGGCTCATGGTGGCGGCTGGGCCCGGCAGCAGCTCGGCCACGGCTATTGGCCCAGGTGACGCCCGTGGCCCGGACGCGTCCAGTGCAGAAGGGAGCTGCTCGCCGACCAGTGAGGCCTCTCCAGGCCACCCGGCGTGTGCCCGTCGCCTGCACTGCTGGTCCAAGGTCACTTTCAAAGAGTTGGCAGATCCCTGAGGAAACACGGTCTGCGTTTCAGGGCCAGGAACGAAGCCGAGGTGTGAGGGCTGGTTCCCGCGGCTACGGCAACAGGCCGCCGGCGAGGTCCTAGGCCACAGTCCGAAGTGCCCGACTGTCACCCCTGCTGGAGATCTGTGACGGCAGACATTCAGTCTGTGTTCGGACACGGCCGTGGCAACGCTCTGTGCTGGCGAGCGAAGGAGGCACCTGTCCCAAGTCAGGCCGGGGGTGGAGGGGGGGGGGGGGGTGAGCCCCAGTCTGGAGCCAGACCTACAGGTCCCATCGGCTCTGCCGCTGATGGGCTGCGTGGCCGTGGGTCTTGATTTTCTGTCTGCAGAAGGGCTCTCGCCCGTCAGAGGTGGGGACCAAGGGGCGAGGCCGAGGGGGCTCAGCTGTGCGGGTCCCCCACTGTCGCTCAGGTCTCCCTGTTGTCCACTTTCCCGCCCGCGCTCCCTGCTCCGTTCTCCTTCCTTCCTCCCGTGCTCCCCTCCACACCTCTGCTGTCTTTGATTAGCTCTGAATACTTAAATGAACACCCCAAACTGTTCACGTCTCCCTTCCCTGTCCTCTGTCTCCCCCCATGGCTCTTCGGGGACCCCGAGCGGCAGCCCCATCTGACTGAGACCGATGGATGCACAGGAACCAAGCTGACTGACTCCCCGCCGAGTGTTCAGAGCCCGTCAAGGTGGGGGGTGGATTGTTCTTTCTGAGTCCCCCCTTTGTCTTGCTCGCTCTAGGTAGCCCCCACCCAGGAAGGCAAGGCAGAGCCAGGAGAGGCTACAGACCCACAGAGGGGGTCCCCTCATCCGTCCTCCCACCGCCCCATCCCCCACGTCGTCCACTTGCACCTGCTGTGTCCTGGCACCGTGTGGGGCCAGGGGTGGGACATGGGTGAGGCAGCGCCCTGCCCTGCACACCATCCAGCTGGGTGCCCAGTGCCCAGCTCAGGGCGCAGCTCTGGAGTCAGCCAGCCCCAGGGTCATGTCCCAGCCTGACCTCTGACCCTCAGTGTGGTCATCTGTAGGGTGTGGGCAGCTTCGGCTCTGGCACAAAGCGGCACCAGTGAGCAGGAACTTGCACGTCACCAGGACTGGTGGGTCACTGACCCGCCCGCCTCCCTCCCTGAGGAGGGGCCCAGCCTGCCTCCTGCCCCTCCCCCTGCTGCACTGCCAGGAAGGGGGTGCAGGCCTCCTCCGGGACTGGAGGCCACGCCCCGGCTCCCGGGCCCTGGCTTGCCAGACTCCTTCGCTCAGACACCTCCTGCCGTCCACTTCCTGGTTGGCCCCGTGGCCCTGGGGCCCTTCGCCTTCCACCAAAATGGGCTTGTGTCTGGCCACTCTGACCCAGGAGCAGGTACCAGGGGCGCTTCAGGGACCCTGCCTTCCAAATGGGTTCCGTGTTTGTGCTGAGCGGGACTGGGGTGCTCCCCTGCCATCCCGGGTTAGTCGGGCCAGCAGCCCCCAGGCTCCGCACCCCTAGAAAACTGCTGCAGCTGGGGTGGGAGCTGCCCTGTGGATGCCCGCCGGCCTGGCGGGGCCTGCGGGGCCGCCTGTCCGGGCAGCGGTCATCGTCGTCCTTGCGAGGGGGCACAGCAGGCCCCCCACCGCCAGGGACTGCTCGGCAGGCGGCAGGCAGGTGGCGCCCAGCCGGCAGCCGGCAGAGGCGTCTGACCTAATTCTGCCGCAGGAGCAGGGGCTTCTGCTTTCATCCCCGGGGCACCGAGACGCCTAGAGATCAAGAGCACCGCGGGGTGGGCGGTGGCACCAGCTGCCCAACAGCCCTGGAGCTCCCTGAGAAGTCCCTGCCCATCCGATGTCTCCTGGGAACCCCGGGCCTGAGATCCCCTCCTCTGGGTGGGAGGGAGCTCACAAGCCAGGGAGCAGAGTCCCCGCCTTACAAACAAAACAAATGGTCCCCCACTTCTGCGGGGCTGAGGGGGGCAGCTGGAGGACCCCTGAAGGGTGGCCTGAAGCCCCAGACAACCGCATGGCCCCCCATAGTCACCACAGGGGAGGGCAAGGCTGGGCAGGCACTCCTGTGCCTATGGGCTTCTCAGGGCGGTCTCCTTCCTCCCCCACCTGGCTCGGCTTAGGTCGGCCCCCAGCAGGATGTCGGCGGGCGCAGGGTGTGGTCATGGTGGGAGGCGGGAACTGTGACTATCTGCTGAATGAATGACAACCGGGCCTGGGGCCTGGGCCCCGGGGTTGGTTATGGGGGTACGAGCTGTTTCCCCAGTCTTCCCCCGACTCACTGCAGCTCACGAGGTCTGGAAAATGCCAAGGTTCCCTCTGCCTGGCAGCAGGTGAGGGCCCTGCCCTGCACCCTTCCACCATGGTCACCCAGGTCAGGATGGCGCCGGGGAAGCCACAGACCGGAGAGGAGGCCCTGTACCGTGGCCGGAGCCTCTGTTCCCTTTCGGGGAGGGAGCGAGACTGTTCCCGGGGCTGGGGCTCCGCTGCTGACCCGCAGACCCAGCTCTGCAGGGCCCTGGTGCAGCCGGAGCCCCAGCCCGGGGCGGCCCCCGGGCACGAGAACGGCTGGAAGGGGACTGCGGTTGCTTTGGGGAAGCTGGGGTGTCCTGGCCAGGACCTTCATCCTTCACGTGGCAGTAACTAGAGGTGGATGTGGCCTCCCCTCGCCACGGCCCAGACCCGGGCTCCGCGCAGGTCCACTGGTTTAGAATCGGGGGCCAGGCCTTTGAATGTTGCTCTGGAAAGATGGAAATTTCCAGTCTGTGACCGTTCTGAGAAATTCTTCTTGGGGCTGCGTGGTCCGGGCGCTCTCGTTTCTGTCTGCCCACGTGAAGTCCGTGCTGTTTCGTGGCAGGTTGGTGGGTCGCCCCTGCTCGGCTCCCCCAGCTCAGGCCTCAGGAGCTTGGAGGAGGGACAGGTCTCTTTGTGGCAAACCGCAGGGCCCCTGGCTATGACCCCCACCCCTGGGAACATTTGTGCCCCCCCCCACCTGAATCTGAGCAAGATCTGATGCTGCCATTTGGGAACTGGGTTGTTGACCACTGGAACCCCGCCGTCTCCCACGGGCACCCCGCCTGGCTCGGGGGGAGAGGAAGGTGTGTTATGCAAGCACCCCCGGATCTGTGTGGTTTCCAGCAGTTACACCTCTTCCTGTCTCTTCGAGACACAGTCACCGCCGCGGCTCCTGCTGGCCGTGCAGCTGTGAAGTGGGAGGCTCTGTGCCGCGGCAGGAAGGACCTCAGGTCTGAGGAGCGACATGCGAAGGAAGAGGCAGGAGCTGGAGTCGCAGCCCGGAGCCCCGAGGCTTCCAGGAGGAGCATGATGTCCGTCCGTCCGTCCGTCACAGCCGGGCAGCATGAGCTGTCCTCTGCCTCCCCTCAGTCAGCGGTCACTGAGCTTCGCATGTGACTGGCGCCGCGGGGGCCTGGGACACGCCTGTGAACAAAGGAGACAAAGTCCCAGCTCTGGTGGAGCCAACATCCCGTGGTCTCGGGGAGTGTGGGGAGGGAGGAGCTACGGGGGACAGTCCCTCGTGGGTGTCACCGTCGTGACTGGCAAGGTAGCCTGGTCCTCACACCGTACCCAGCATGTTAGGGTTGGTCTTGGCGACCAGGAGAACAAACTTCTGAGCCTCGGTCGGGGAAAGGTCCGAGCTTCTCTCTCGACTCGCTGCCTGGGGAGAACCCAGGGCCCGGTGCAAGAGATCCCGGGGTCAGGAGCCCAGGCCCGGCCGCAGCCCCAGGCCAGCCTTCAGATGAGGCCGCAGCCCCAGAGCCAGAACCAGCAGCCCGTCAACCCCCGAGGCCTGACTCTCCAAAACCATGTGAAAAGGGCTTGTTTCGGCTGCTAACTTGTCACGTGACAAGAGGTAGCTCATACGGTGCTGTCATTCTCGTGACCTCCGCTGTCGAGGGACAAGCCTTCCGGAACCTTTGAGCTTCTAGAACGATCCAGACTTTGGGTGCAGCCACAGAGGGGCCTGCAAAGCACCGATCCCCCATGACACTGAGTCATACTTGCGTGTGACAGTCACACCTATGAGACTAGCCTTCTTCTGGGAACATGGGAAAGATGAGAAGCCTTCAGGAACAAACCAGAGAAAAGCAGATGGTGTTGTAAGTCTGAGGACCCCAAAAAGTCTGACTTTCTGGAAGGTCAGACCCCTGCCAGGGAGAGGCCCCCTCAGGGACACGTGTGCGGAAGTGGCTTCGTCGGCCTTTTGCACACCGTGCAGTGTCCCGGAGGGAGGGAGCTGCGATCAAGCAACACTCCCAGGCCTCGGGCTCTCACCTTCCCTCCGCCAGGCCGGGCACAGGCTGATCCTAGTGCCTGTGGCCCTTCCCTGTGCCCCACACACCCCTGTAGCGCATCGACCCACCCCAGACTCCTGTTACCATTTCACAGGTAAAGAAACTGACGCTTGGGAAGCCTGAGAGATTTGACCAAGGTCACACCCAAAAATGTCCGTTAAAACTCGAACCCAGAGCCAGACCTAAGCCCCGCCTGGGCCTCACCACCCTCCCCGACACCTGAAGAGGTCTCCTCGGGCCACCCAGAGGATGGAACGTGACGTCAGCCCGGCCTGAGCAGACAGGGAGGCGTGTGGTGAGCTCCGGCAAGATTTCGGTTTAGAAACAGTTCCCTCTCCAGCCCTCAACGTGCTGACTTCCTTTCCCATCAAATCTCGCTCAGCAGAGGTTCTAGATGCCCACGTTTCCTCGTGCTCCAGAATCTAGTGGACAGACAAGCGTGGCCTTCTTTTCCGCCACTCAGTGCGGTTATAACTTAATAAGGACGAGCCCGAATATTAAGCCCCGGAATGCATTCCCATGAGTGAGTGCTAAAGTTAAAACTCCGCTCCCAACCATGGTGTGGCTCAGTGGTTGAGCGTCAACCCTGCACCAAGGGGTCACCAGTTGATTCCCGGTCAGGACACGTGCCCAGGTTGTGGGCCCGATCCCCAGTGGGGGGCGTGCAGGAGGCGGCCAGTCGATGTTCCCTCTCATCGATGTTTCTGTCTCTCCCTCTCCCTTCTCTCTAAAATCAATAAAGAAAAAGAAAATTTAAAAAAACTCCGCTCCCCTTCTGCAGAAGAGTTCTGGCCACAGTGAGTGTTCACTCATCATGCGTTCGTGGGTCGGTGGCTCCACGTCCCAGGCCAGACCAGGTGGCACGTGCAATCTTTGGACCAGGGTTGGCCTGGGGCATATTCGTCCATGGCAGTGGCAGAAGCCCAGGACTAGTGTCCAGTGGCTGAGGCTGGCGCTGGTGCAGTGTGTGTGTGTGTGTGTGTGTGTGTGTGTGTGTGTGTTGGGGGAGGCAGCGACGTCACGCGGCAAGGACATGGGTACAGGAGAAGTGAGGGATGGGGGCCGACAACTCAATCTCCTGCAGCCTCCTACCCTCCTCCTGTGCAGCTCAGATGCCAGCTCCGTCACCCAGAACATGTGGGTGACCCGACTGTCCTCAGCCAGGCCCACAGAAAGGGTCTTCTGTTGCTTTGTGTCTCCATCCTGGATTCTCAGGCGGAGGTCTGACCTTTCTGGGGTTTCCTGGTTTCAGCTGCATGTTCTTTTCCTTCTCCCGGACGCGCCAGATTCTTTCCGTCTCGTGTCAGCCAGGGGCCACCCTCGGTTCCTTGCCAGGTGGGCCTCCAACGCGGCAACTGGCCCCCTCAGAGCCAGCAAGGGCGTGAGCGCCAGGAGCTGAGGGGGTCGCGAGGCCTCCGTCTGACAAGCGGCTTCCTCCATGCGGAGCCGGCCCGCCAGTGGCCCGCAGGGGGCTGGGGTAGGCAGCAGGGCAGGTGAGGCAGCAAGGATGACCCTGGGGGACAGGGGTCCTGGGACGGGGACGCGTCCAGAGGTCTGAGTCCACAGATTCCGCGGTTTCTGCAATTCGGGAGCCTCGGCATAGCAGCCAGGGAGGGGCCAAGGCCCCCCACCCAGGAGGATTGCGGTGGGAGAGTGAAGAGATGGGTTGGAAAAGCTTCACAGTCACTGAACCGGACCGTCAGCCTCATCTGAGCCGCCGTGGGTCTGTCTGACTGTCTGTCTGATGCAGGACAGATGTGCAGACAGCCCCTGACCTGGTCCCTCACCCTCACAGAGCCTCCTCGCCAAACCCGACTGGTCTTTCTTAACCAGCTCCCCTCCTCCTCTGCTTTTCCTCCAGAATCTTCCCTCGTGAAGAAGAGAGCGGGTCGGCGAGAGTGAGGTAGCTCCATGTATCCAGAGTCAACCACGGGCTCCCCAGCTCGGCTCTCCCTGCGGCAGACAGGCTCCCCCGGCATGATCTACAGGTGACTCCTGCCCCCCAGGCTCCCCGGGTCAGCCTGCCTCTCAGGGGTCCTCGAGGCCACCGTCCTCCCCTGACCCAGAGGGAAGGGCCGGGTGAGGCCCGTGGGCCATGCGGTGCAGCGGGCAGGTGCGGCCCTTCCAGCTGCCCTGAGGCAGGCGCCCCTGAGAAGCCACTTCCAGTCCGGCTGCGGGTCGCTCTGTCTGGATACATCCCAAGCTGAGCCACCGGGAGTGGGGCAGAGGCACGGGGCCCAAGCACAGGGCTCAGATGACAGTCACCTCCCGCCACGCAAGCCTGGGCCCAGCTGGAATCCGGGGTCCCACCTTCTAGATCATTATCAGGGCCTGAACCACAGTGATTGTCCAAGGAAACCACAGGGAAAAGGGGGTCCCCCCTTCATCAAGATCCTAAAAAGAACCCACAGTCACATGCAGGCTTGCTGGTGCGTCCGGTGACTGGCAGTTCTTGGTTTGAAGGTGTTCCACTGTTGTTCTAAAGCATATTTCGTTAAAATCCAAGCAGACAGCCCCCAGGGTTCACCTGCTGTCTTCATTCCCTCCGCTCTGGGTGGGAGAGAGGCAGGCACAGGACCCCGGTGTCCCAGCCGATCGGGCCTCTGCCCCCGTGCGCCACTGGGTGGCGCTGCCGCCGAGCGCTTGGAGCGGCGCGCGTCCTCCGCCTGCCCAGAGCCCAGCGGGTGGGGCCGGGGCTGCCGGCGTCGCGAGCGCTTCCGGGCTGCACCCCGTGGCTAATGCCAATTGTGGCCTCTCTCTTCTTTCCCTCCTTCTCTCCATTGCTGTCCGCAGTACTCGGTATGGGAGCCCCAAAAGACAGCTCCAGTTTTACAGGTAACGAGCCCTCCGTTTCGCGGGTGGGAGGGCCGTGCGCTCCGGTCGGTCGGTCGCGCGCGCTGCTGGTTTCTCGGGGATGGAAACCCCGCGACGAGGTCCGGCTCCGTCCTCGCCCGGTGCGTCTGCGCTGTGCCGATGAAACCCCAGGTCGGGCTCGCTGTGCTGATGGAGAATTCGCTGGGGGCCTCCATCAGGGAGAGGCGGGCTCCTTGACGTCTTTCTGAGCCGTTTCCCTGTGGGTGAACGGGGCGCCAGTGCTTGCAGAGCGAGAGGCTGTCTCCCGAGGTGTGGTGCCAAGGGGACAGCAGGCCCCTCAGCAGGGCCTCTCAGGGCTGTCCCCCCTCCCTCTGGGCAGCCTCTTCCTGCCTGGACAGGAGGGAGGGTGCCCCAGGGGGACACAAGCTTCCCAGAAAGTCTCAAACTCCAGGTATTGACTTCGACATTGTTCTCCTGTCGGGAAAATGTCAGGGTACGGGATCCGCGGGTCAGCTCCGCCAGCCTTGGGACTGTTGGGGACTCCGTGCGGCTCCCGGACGACCACTGCGTCTGTTGTGCGTTTGGGCCTTCAGGCCTGGAGGCTCCTGGGTCCGGAACCAGCTCCCCAGCGGCGTGCATGCCCACCCGTGACGGGACCGTGGGGCGGGTCCTGTGGGGCACCAGGAATCCGGGCAGTGGGTGCAGGGTTGGCACTGGATCCCTATGACTCTTTCCTTCCCGCAGCCCTGGCACCTCTGACCGTGGCCGTGGGCCTGGGTCCTCGGGCTACTTTTGCCTCAGCGCCTCCCCTGTGCCCCCTCCTTACTGACAGCCCTAAAGGGATGGCCAAGCCTGTGATTCTGCTCAGTTTTACTAGACATGCTTTTGCCTGAAATAGTTGGCTCTGAACATGGGCTCGCAGGTGCATCTATTGGATGAAATGGTCCGTATGCAGTGGCCCGACTTGGCCGAGTGAATGTGCGACACGTCCCAGCAGGATCTGACCAGCGAATCCGGCCGTGCACTCGAACTGCGCCCTCGGACACCGGGCCGCCTCACCCCAGAAGGGAAGGAGGGGCTGGAGACAGACAGGCAGGAAAACCCCAGGGTCACACCCGTCGCTGAGAGGACCTGGCCCGTGACAAGGACCGAGGAAGTTGTCACACTGAAGTGAGAGTGTTCCACGCCCCTCGGAACCCACGGACCCACGTCTCGTCCACCCCTGTGGGGATCTGGGTGAGCCGGGCCCCCACATCCGTCACTGCCTCTGCGTGCCACGTGGACACCACCCGCTCTGGCCGTCCAGCCTCTGAAGATCCCTCGTGTGGTTTCTTCACACCCACACTCGGTGTCTCTCATGGGGCCTCTGATGATGCCCTCTAAGGAGCGGGCTCTTTGCCCGACACACTGGGTGCCACTCCCAGAGGGGCATCCTGGTCACCCGGGCACTGACAGCTCACGGTGGTTACTGAAGTCAGTCGGCACTGCGGAGCCTCTCCTGGAACAGGCACCGGTGTCCGAGGCATGCCCCGCCCTCGGTCTCGTATCCGTCAGCTCGTACACGATCGCTGCCTAACAAACACCGCAAACAGAGAGCTGTGCAAGAGGCATTCCTTTCTTGCTTACGTGTCGGGGTGGACTCGAGCCACTCGTGCAGGCTGGACTCAGCGCTGAGCTGCGGGGCAGGTCCAGGGGCTCGTCCTCCCGTCCCTCCTGAGCGGGGGCTGTCCCAGGCCCGGTCTCGTGGCAGGCTTGCCAGAGGAAGAGCAGAAGCCTGTGCCGCCTCTCCCGGCCAAGGTCAGAACCCGCACACGGCCTCTTCTGCTCCTTCTTTTGGCCAAAACAAGTCTCATGATCCAGCCCAATGTCAGAGGGCAGGAAAAAGACACCCTTGTTTCACCGTGGGAGAAAGTCTCATGATGCAGAGGGGGACAGAGGACCCGCAACAGCACTGCAACCTACCCCAGAGCTCAAATGCTCCAGTCATATCCAAAAAGCGAAACTACCTGGAGAGGTTTCAGGAGCTGCTGGGGTTCCGAGGGGGAAGGGGTCACAGTCGCCGAGAGTCGGGGGGCTTCACAGAGAAGGCAGCTTTGAGCTGCACCTTGAGGTCTGGACAGGTTCGACACAGAAGCCACGAAGAACATTCCAGTAGATGCAGCAGCCTGAGCCACAACTTGGAGAGGTGCACAGGGAACAGGGAACGGGGCTTTCACAGACTGGCCATCAGGGACGGGACAGAGTGACAGGAGGCCAGGCTGTAGAGGTGGGTGGGGGTCTGATGAGGGAGGACTTTGGATGCCTAGCTAAGCAGCTTGGGCTGCACTCAGGGGGCACTGGGGAGCCAGCGGTGGTGCTTGAGCAGGGCAGGGATAGGACTCTGCTGTAGGAAGGAAGCCAGGCAGCAGGGAGGAAGACCAGACCAGGAGAGATGGAGAAGGGCCGAACAGAAGGGACCACAAAAAGGGGGGGCGAAGGGGAGCAGGGCACAGGAGCAGGGTGTCTGAAGTCATGTCCATGGGCTTGCCTACCAACACCATTGTGTTGATAGAGAGGTGCCGTGTCCCTGGGGGAAGGAGATGGTCCTCATTCAGAGCATGTCAGGCTGGTGACCACCCATCAACAGTGAGGCCCAGGGCCACCTCCAGCCAAGGAGGACACGTGATGGATGTAGTGGGCTTGGCTTTTTGAGAAAAACCATCTCGTTTCCACACTGAGGCTTTTCCGACAAGGACACTGCCGGTCACTTCCCTGTGTCCTCTCCAGCCATGACCCTGCACTTCATCTACTCTCTCCCCGGAGCCCAGAGAGTGGTCCCCCTCCGACCTAGAGGCTGCTGCCGGCCAGGGTTGTCACGGGGTGACCAGCTCAGCCTCTCCAACACCCCACACACATTGGCCACCCTTTCCCTGGAAGACCATGTCATGTTGAGATTTTTTTTGGCATCCTAGGGTGACCCAAAGTGCCCTGGGGTTATGACCCTGGTACAGGGGCTCAGCATAGCCTTACCCCAGACCTCAGCTTCAGAGCATTTTCCAAACCCCAGGGCAGGATGTGTGCTGTGGGGAAGGGTTCCTGTGTCCCTCCCTGGGGCAGTGGCAGGGTGGTGTCCTGTAGCAGGCTTCCGGAACCTTCCGGCCACTTACAGGGAATGGGTACCAGTCTGGAGCACGTCCCAGTGGGAGGGAGGAAGGGCATCCACCCGCGTGTGCTGAAGGGAAGTCTCCTGAGATCTCAGCCCCTTCAATAGGGGCGGTGGTCACATGCCCTGGGGACCCCGGCTCCCCTACTGCAGACAGAGTTAGGAATGTGGTGGGGACCGAGCCCCACGCCTGGGTCCCATCCTCAAATAACAAAACGCCGGCCTGCCCCTTCCCACCTGTGGTTCCCAGGTCGTGTCCCTGGCCCCCGGGGACAATGGAGGCAGGGGTGGGCCCGAGGGCGCGGCAGGACCCTGGCTGGTGTCCCCGCCTGCCCCCCGCAGGCGATGGCCGGGCGGCGGCACCGCGGATCTCCACTTCCCGGGCTTTTAGGGGCAGAGACGCTCCTGAATAATTCAGCCTGCTTCACGGAGATGCAGTGTCCTAATAGGACTAATGGACTTGCTGCCTCCGCGCCCGCCGACCCCTGGGGGACTCTTCTCATTCACCAGCTGCCTCTGATGTTCCGCAGCGACACTCCCTAATGAGACAGCTGCCGCGCCAGGCCTTGCGCTGGTGAGCCCTAGTAAGCTAGACTGTGCTTCTTAACGAGCAGACGCAGGAAAGCAGGTGAGTGGCCCTGCAGCTCCGGGGCCAGCCTTCTCCCGGGGGCGCCGCTTGGGGACGAGCGTCTGGGGGACGGAGTAACGGAGGGGTGGTATTCGGGGTGCGTTTGGCTGGTTGGAAATTAGACCCTCTATATTTTTTCAAAGCAAAAAGCTGGCCCTGGGGAGCCATGAGAGGAGCTCTGGGGGAGATGGTTGGGGGCTCTGCCACTTGCACCTGCTTGCTCCCAGACCTGCGGGACGACTGTCCCTCCTGCCGTCCAGGGGGGCCTGGGAGCCCAGCTCTCACTTTGTTGGGCTCAGCACCGAGAGTCAGCATTTTCCATTTTCCCGGGAACGACGGGACGTGTGGTGGCTGCCCGGAAGCACGCGGCCTGAGCAGGCCGGGCTGCGTGGCTGGGCCTTGGCTTGCTGGCTGTTCTGCAGAAGGGATTCTGTCTCTGCCCGACCGTGGCCGCGATGCATGGCCCGGCCGGCCGGGCGCCGCTTCCCCGCGCTCCTGATTTGGGAACTCCGGCTGGTGTCCCCAGTGCAGAGCCCATGGCGCTGTCGGAAAGAGGCGCTCGGGGCTCCCTCCAGACCTCCTGCTGTGGTGGCTCTGGGTAAACAGACCACAGTTCGGAGGTTCCATGTGGCTCTTCTGGGCGGTCGTGATTCCCGCTGACTTCACGAGGCTAACGTCCTCCTGTGTCCGAGTCACGGGGCTCATTTACGTGAATTCCCCCCGGTCCCCTGGCCTCCGCAGGGATAGATCTACAAAAGGGGGGCCCCGGCGCAGGAAGACCCTGTAGGCGCAGAATGAGCTTAGCTCTGGAGGAGGGGCTGGTTTTTCTTGAGGGGGGGTGCAGGATAGTGAGAAGGAAGGGGAGTCAGCACTTCTGAGCTCTGAGAAGCAAAGGGGCTGGCGAGAGACCCAAGGCTGGGCTGGGCCCACTTCTTGGTCACCTTCCTGGGTCCCCTGGGTCCAAGGACCCAGCCCTGCTGTAGGTGCCTTCAGAGGAATAAGCGCAGCTGCAGCGTGAGAATGCAGGGAGCCAGACTCTGCTCCAGGCAGGAGGCACTGGGGACCATCGGGTCTCCTTCCTGGGCTCATGCCTCCCTGAGGGCCTTAGGAGGGAGACCGTTTCCTGGCTCCCCCCACCTTCTCCCGCACTATGCTTGGCCCTCTGCCACAGACCCTCATGGGTGCCAGGTCCTCACCCCGCCACCTCTGCCCAGGGGCTGCCATGCTCACCCACACCCCACCTCTCCCAGC